TGAACATCTCAAAGGATGGAGATTCCACAGCCCCTCTGGGAAACCCATTGCAGGGTTTCACTGACCTCATGCTTAAAAATTTCTTCATAAACAATCATAATTTCTGTTGTTGCAGCTTGGGTCCCTTGTCTCTTGTCCTTTCACTGCACAGCTCCCAAGAGAAGCCTGAGTTTGTCTTCTCTGCACTCTTTCACCAGGTGGCTGAGCATATGTGGCCGGGGCAGTACCACGCAGCCCTGATGAGAAGTTTCTAAAACATGATCAGGCAGCTGAAGAGGCTGAAACACACCCACAGTTGGGAGCTGCTACCCAAATAGGAAGCCCCAGTTTAGATGTGCAGAGGAAAGCTCTTCATCTTACAAGCATCACCAGCATGCAGCCTGTTCAGCATAGCCAGGGACACTGAAAAACACAAAGTTCTAAAGGACTGAAATCCCCCCAAAGGGCATGAACAGAGCCTGTCTGAGCCCCTAATAGCTTAACCTTTTCAGGAGGTGGTTCTCATTCTTAAGCCTGTGAACTGGCACTGAGCTTCTAGCCTTCTATGTGGCATAAGTTCCTTCATTTGCATTCCTGTTCCCATAAAACCTGTTAGCTTTTACTTTTGCCCACTCTGTAAAGGCATTGCCCATGGAAACCAGGAAAGGTAGTACCTAGTTTCTAAATAATACTGAATTAGCTCTAGTTTTGTTTTGTAGCATCATCCTTGATATTTATTTATAGACAAATGAGAACTAGAATGAAAATTATTTTGTTTTCTTGATCACTTACAAGCCAAGACAGCATTGGGATGTTAAAACTATAGGAACATAATTTATGCATTATACAATAAGCTGGTTTCTTGTACTTTACTTCTGAATTGAACAGCCTCACAGTTAATAGGATTACACATTATTCCAAGAACAAGAACAGGGCAGTCTTACAGAAGTGAGAGAGCCAGGAAAAGGTATGCACCACTGCCCTGCTTTTCTGTTCTTTTGTGCTCTGTCATCATGTTGTTCTGCACAAATGCAGTATTTGCAAATGTAGCCCCTCACCTGTAGTAATTTTCTTTGGTGGTGGTAGTACTGGGAAGCAAAGTCATCTGTGACATGAAAAAATAAATGGTCGATCAAAACATGTCTCTTGAGTGATTAATGTTCCCAGCCAGTCCAAGCTGGGACTTCTGTTCAGACTGATGCTTGATTTTGGACAGAGAAATTTTATCCTCAGTTTTTGTCCCTGATGCACAGAGTACCATGATCCTGCAGCTGTGTTTGTTCTGGAGCACATCTCTGGATGGAAGTGCATAGAGAGCACAGTAGAGTTGGATATCATGTCACTTGGAAGAAAAGCCTGTCATAGGTCCCTCATGTGGCTCAAGTCTCGTGCAGTTTTCTGTGAAAGTTAATCCCACAAGCAGTAAATTTATTACTTTCAGATTTTCAGTTTATACCATTGGGGTTGGGTAAGAAAAAAAAACAAAACTATTAAATGTAAGGATCACTGGCAACCAGTGGCAAATGTTGCTACAGATAAAATGTGTCAGAGCCAGTTACCTATATATATAAATTCTAGGTCCTGAAGGAGAGTTGGGGGATTCCTCTGTTTTCCATCTTGGGAGTAAGCCTGTCCCTGACTACAGCTTTGGGTGGAAAAGGTAGCTCAGAGTAGCCGGAGGTGTTCTTTTTGCTTTTCATGCACCACAGTTAAGAGATAAAAAGAGGGAAAAAAAAAAAAAAAGGAAGTCTATGTAACCAAATTAAATATTGTGAACTTTTACTCTATATAAGTCTTTTACAAGTAGGTCATGTACTTTGGGATGGGAGAAGGGAATGCTTACATTCATATTCCATGACCAGAAATTTATAATGACCCTTTTGTGGCAAAAGTGCTCCCAGAGACTCAGCCTGTTCCTAGAGAGCGATACTCAGCATTGCAGATGGCCTCCTTCATGAGTTTTGTGAGTTACTGTCAGTCTTGAGGAGTTATTACAGGAATCTTTGGTTTAGTCTGGTCAGTGCAGCTTTCTCTGACTTTTGAGTTAGATTAAAAGGTTACAATTTTGCCTGCCTTCATCAGGTTTATCATGGGCCACAGCTGATAACTGCCTCTCATGGCCAAGATCCAGGGTGGCACTGTACCCACTTCTCCTATACTCTGGATTGTCTTGCTTCTTTGCCAGAAGTGGGCAGATGTCACTAGCAGTCCTATTTTGGTCTCCTTAGCCTTCTCCCCATTTAGTTGTGTGATTGGATCATAACCTGTTACGTCATTTATGTTTAACAAAGCAGCTGGCTTCCAAATTTGTTTTCCCTGATGTCCTCAGGCTGCTGTTGTGCCTGGAGCAAAGCAGTAGAACAGAAACTTTCCTTTGCACCAGAGTCTGATGTGAGCACATTTTCTACTCTTTCAGTTCTTTCTCTCTGCTTCTTCCTGCTTTCCTAACCTGACTCCATCATTTTTGGTTCTGTCCAACAGGTTAGCAGAGGGTCTTGGGCCTGCAGGTCCTTTCATGTCCATCTTTGAGCTTTCTGGTTCTAGGTGAGGCTGAGAAAGCCTTCTTTGGTTTCCTTCATTTTTTTTGTTCCCCACTAGCAGTGCAGAGGATGCATGCCAAAGAAAAGATTTCCTGCCCCTTCCTGGTTGCCCTGAAACATTTGTGTAAACTTGCAGTTTAAAACATTGTTCTTCAGAGATCTCTCTCCCAGACTCCTTGAACATCCAGAGCATTTCCCTGGATGGCACATGAAAGCAGTAGCCACCATTTCCAGACATTCTGCTTTAAATGTAGTGCCGGCTTATTCCTCTTACAAGCCATCAAACTTTATTTATTTCAAACAGAAATGTATCTGCAGAAGTATTTAGTGTTTTCTTAATATTCTTTGTTCCAGGAACATATATTGGAACATACATTCCCAGGAGTGACATGAGTAGGTATGCATTTCCCACAGTAGGCATAAATTATTTGGCTCTATTTCTTAACATTTAGTGTTGCTATTTATGGTTCAATTTCGTGCCAGAATGAGGGAGTCACTGTTATTTTCAGACAAGTAAGTGGCCCTTTGACCATATTAAGAACCAGTCATGTTTGTTACCATTATATTTTGCTTTTATATGCTCTGCATTAAACATGAGTAAACATACAGAGTAGGCATCTGCCTTAAGCTTCCCAATACACTGCAGGTCCTTCCATACAGGTTTTCTATTCACCCATTGGGGTGATGCTATTTAATTGCTTTCCATGGTAAACACCTTTTTTGATTGCTACTGATTTTTCTGTCATCAAAAAATATGGTAGGCTCAAATACAATAACAACAAGCCACAGTTAGTAATTAGCAACACAAAGCGTAATCAGTTTATGTTGTTCTTTTGCCCTTCCCATTGTCTTAATCCAGCCAGTCTTTGTTCTTGCTCCCTTGCCAAGAAGTGTGACGTGTCTTTTGGCTTTTGTGTATGGCGCAATGCAGATCTATAACACTGCACAGAAACATTTTAGAGAGTGAATATGTGTGACCATATAGAATGGCTGTCTCCAAGGTTAATGGAGCAATAGAAATGAGATGTAAATAGTTACTGAATTGAATAGGCAGAATTGAAGGATTTTTTCCAAAGTGCGGATTCAGACAGGCTGTACCTATACAGAACTTCAAACCCACAGGCTCTACGCATATTGCACAATTTAAAATGGATTTCTAAAGTCATTGTTTTTATAGCTTTATATGACAAATGAGAATTGCATACTAATTTAAAGTAAAAAATTATTCTGACTTTTCAAGACAAAAGATTTCCACATTCAATAATTAGAAAAACAGAGAAAAATGAGGGCAAACTTGGAGCTGTGACAGGCATCCACACCATGTGTGCAGCTTATCTAAAAGCACATAGTTTGTCATTTCTAGTAGTGATTTGTTCTGCAAAATGGAGGAAACTCTCTTGCTCTTTTAATAACAGTTATATCTATTTGTATGAAATTAAGTTCATTACTTTACAGAGAACGGTGAATGGAGAAGAAAATAACCTAAGTCAAATATTACCAGTGAAAAACAGTAATATTGTTTTCTTTCCTTTTTGAATAAAGAAAAAAAGGGGGAATGGGATTGTTCATTTGTTTTTATTTTAGTGTTTCCTTTATATATGGAACTGAAGTAGCCTTGTCAGCAGTCATTTTCTGTGCTATGGTAGAGGAGTTACCACAGTGTCAACCAGATTTTTAACAAAATATAAACAATTTTGCAAGTGAAATCTTCATTTGGGGAAATTTTTTTAGATAGTTACCTGTATTTGGATTCCAGGTACACTCCTCTAACTAGTAAGTTTCACCAAGTTTCAGTTATTTACCTTTGAAGCACATGAGTAAAACCAATGTAGTTGGATACTCTGATGTGATTTTAGCATAACTTATGACCTTTAGACTCTTGAGTGAAATTTTCAGAGGTGCTCATTTCGAGGCATATGTTGTGTCCTGACTCAGTACTGAATGCCAGTTGTGTTTGCTGAAAGCATTATGACTGCAGTACAGAACACATTTGTAAACCCCCCTCCTCTGTCTACAATTTGAAATCACTGTGTAAGAAAGGGCTCATTGTAGATGATAAGTTGAGGGAAAATACTTTGTGAGAGTGTGCAAAAAGTATGTGCCACATAAGGAATGGAAAAGTCCCAGCTTCATTTGGTACTCAGTTGCTGGCTGGGCTTAAACTGTCTGCTCTAAAAATGACATTGAAATGACTTTACCAAGTACCAAATATCCTCTTTTAAGAATATTCTTTCATGCTATGTTTTATCTCAGATGACTTAAAAAAATGCAGCAGCTTAAAGTGAATGGCCTTTCCTGTATGTGCTATTGTATTTGGACAAAATTGTGTATATTAAGGATTCCAACAGCAACTCCGAAAACTTTTCCTGGACCAGTTCTTTCTTACGCCATGCTCCACAATTCACCTAAACTCATGCACGTGACATAGTTACAGCACTGAATCCATTTTGCAAATGTTAAAAAAAAGAGAAAAATCAGTCGAACTTTTGGCATACAACTGTAGCTGCTGCTCTAGCTAAATTGCTGCTAAGTGTCTAGGTGATAAAAGCTTTCTCCCACGCCTGCCACTCTGAGCAACACTATTATCAGGAAAATGTATGCATCTTTTTCCAGTAAGAATAAGGACTGTGATAACTTTAGCATTTAGACAAGACACTGAGCTGATGATTGTGAAATGCATTAATGGATGTGTCACTATTTTAAAAGAGCACATCTAATGGATTGTTTATACATCCATCTCATTGTACTTATTTATTTATTTTATAGGATACTTTAAACATTAAATTGCACAGATCAAGGTAGAACTCTCCTGTGACCTCCTCACCTCATGGGCCTGTGTTGAACGGAACCAATCCCAGTCCCCAGCCAGTTGTGTATGTATACCGCTGAAGGAAAATGAACATACTGAACAGCCACCACTTTTTGTACTTTCTGCCTACCACACGCCTTGTCATCTTATTAGCAGCTTTAGCAACTGCTGAGGATGTGACTAATAGCACTTTCAACCGCACTGACATGAACACGGGATCCGTGCCCTTGGTGATCTCCCACATCGACCATATTATAGTCAAGGAGGGGAGTAGTGCCTTGATCGACTGCAATGTCCAAGGTAGCCCTAGTCCACATTACAGATGGTACAATTCCAATGGCTACCTACTCAAAGAGGAGGAGAATAAAGGTAAGATCTTTGTGTTCTCACTGATATAGCCTGTCCAGAGGCACTTCAGATTTCAGCAGGTTGGCTAATTACCTGAATTTAATAGCCTGACTCTGGTATTTTCCTGTGTGAAACTGTGTGAAAACACAGTGGCAGCCATAAATTTGTTGTGTGCACCTTGGAAGAAAACAGTAACATTTTGTTGTTATTTATAGCAACACAAAGCATGAAGCTGAAACATTTAACAGAACGTGTAGACAGGCTTCTTTCACTGGAAGGTTTTGGGTTTGATCTTGTTTCCCTTTCTGTCCTCTTTTGTTCTTCTCTGGAACCAAAAAAAATTAAAAAGCTGTTTTCCAACTCAAGGGAGGATTCTCTTGACATATGACAGTAATTTGTTGATGTGAATTCAACACAGCTAACTCCCTGATACACCTGTGGTCTTTATGTGTAGTGCCATGGAGGGTGAGATGCAGGAGATGCCGTGAATGACCAACAGAAAGCTATATAGGGCAGCAGTCAGAAGGACAAGCAGTCTGAGCCTTCCTGGCTTTAGTTAAGACTCTTCAGTTGCATTTGCTGGAGACCTTAATTACACAAGCTTGTTTTCCTTAAATGGAAGGGTTAGGTTATAATCCTAGTTATAGTTCTAGGGAACATTTCATTGGAGGTGGGGGGAAGGTGTTTTGCTCATGTAATCCTTCCATACTGACTGCTTTGTTCACAGCATCATGAAATAAACTAGTTATTCATACTAAATTCAAAACAGCTTGCCTAACTAATAGCTGACCTGAGGGAGAATGCTGCTATGACAGGAGTAATGATTGACCCAGCTGGATACTCAAGAGCATAGTGTATCTGTAAAAGCTTACTGCATAATCGGTTACATTTTACATGATAGTATTTCATAATTTTCTGAGTAAAGCTAGAGATAGGAACTACTTGAGCTAGTGTTTTCAGGTGTAATTTGTGCAGTCATAGCAACATACTGTGATTAGTGCACTGGAGTGGTTTCCTAAGGCTCACTAATAGAAATTTTCCCCTTTCGTTAGGCATCTAACTTTAGGTCTTTGTATAGTCAACTGAGAGAGGCAGGTACTAACACAAATATTTAGGTAGCTGAGCAAAAACTTTGACCAAGTCAGTAAAAATTGCACATGTAGTATTAAGACAACATCACTTGGACTTTCAACAGTGCACTTCCCCCCTTAAAAAAATGACTGCCTTCTTATAAGAAATGTTTCCTAGCTCAAGGCCTTTTCTTACTATGTATACAGTTACGTTGCATATGGCGTTGAATTGTTACCAAAACCCAGAGATGATACCTTTCCTAATCATTGTTTTCTTGTTAGGCTTATACTGTCTGCCAGGATCCACTGGCCCAGATGCAGTCATTGAGTCACAGTTCAATGCTGTTATGTCATTTATAACAGCTGGAGCCAGGATACATCAGCAAGGCAGCTTATCATTTAACAATTAATAAACACCCACTTTGCCAACATTTCAATTCAAAGAAATACTGAGCAGCCAATACTCTGTATTTTTTTTCTTATTCTAGAGATGGAGAAAGAAGTGTTATCTATTACAGATAGAATCATAGAATCATAGAATAGTTAGGGTTGGAAAGGATCTTAAGATCATCTAGTTTCAACCCCCTGCCATAGGCAGGGACACCTCCCACTAAACCATGCCACCCAAGGCTCTGTCCATCCTGGCCTTGAACACCACCAGGGATGGAGCATTCCCAACTTCCCTGGGCATCGCATGACATTTCCTCTATAAGAGTGTTGTCCTCTGAATTTGCCTGACTTTAGAAGATTGGGGTGATTTGTTTATGTGAAGGTCTGCTTTAGACTGAGCTTTTTATTTATTCTATATTTCTAAATTTCAGGCAAAGTGATGCAGCTGTTTTCAAGAATTACACTAGGGCAAAACCCAGTGTTTCAGATAAGTTAAAAATTGTAAGTAAGAAGATAAAAAGATATAATTAAGAAGTGTCCACACAGGAATTGAGGCAAGGATCTTGTGGGAATACTTTCTATATAGGTTTCTATAAGCCATGCTTAATTAGAAAAACTTTCAAAATGCTAAAAGCCCATAAGTACTCTGAAATAAAGGCTTTTTTTGACTAATGAGTTTCAAAATTGCCCACAGATTCTTCCTTGAAAGAAATAATGTAAAAAATAATCTTTTCAAAAACCAAAGAACTATGTAAAGGATAAAATAAATGTAGAAGCAAAGTGTACACCAACATGTGACAGGAGTGCATTTACCTGCATTGCACAGAGGTTTTAGTCCTCTCATCACAGATTCTGTGTGTTTGCTTAGATGCCTTAGTAGAATCATAGAATGGTTTGGGTTGAAAGGGACCTTGAAGATCACCTAGTTCCAACACCCCTGTCACAAGCAAGATCACCTTCCACTACACCAGGTTGCTCAAAGCACCATCCAGCCTGGCCTTGAACACTGCCAGGGATGGGCATCCACAGCTTCTCTGGGCAACCTGTGCCAGTGTCTCACCACCCTCATAATGAAGAATATTTTCCTAAATGTCTAATCTAAATCTCCCCTCTTTCAGTTTAAAACTATTCCCCCTCATCCTATCACTATATGCCCTTGTAAAAAGTCCCGCTCCAGCTTTTTCTTCATCATTCAGTATGGCTAGTAAGACAGCAAAACTGAATTTCCTATTTTGTTTTAATCTACTTTCAGCACATCCTTTGGCATCTGTTTCTGCCACCAGGCTAACTCTCCAGGCTGGCATGCAGATAAAAGCAAAGCCTGACCTGCTCCCACAGGATCTGCTGTCTCCTGTGCGTTTTGTAGGGGCTTCTGGAGCCATTTCCCACTTGTGCTGCATGACACAACTGTTTTTCAGGGAGCTGTGAGCAAATTTTCTGTGTGGGCACATGTAGGAACTGTGCAAAGGCAGCTGGGGTCCAAAGGGGCTTGGGTGGGTTAGCGATAACTTTTGCCACAAAGAGAGTGTGTTGCAACCCCAAGTAAAAACAGTGTTCATGTTAATAGACTTAAACTGGTTAGGATTAAGGAAAACCAACTTTCTGATAGTAAAGATAGGTGCACACCTGAAATTCCTTCCTGTGGAAGATTCCATTACTGCCTTCAGCAGATACCTGCCAGGTGCCTGCTTGGGATTGCGTTACAGAGATTGAAAACAGTTGAGCCTGCCTCTGAGCAGCAGTATTAGATGATCTTGCCGTCTTACATGAGCCTATGTCGTTGTTCTAAAAGGAAATCTGTATGACATCGCTCCGTGGAAAGTGTTCAGAAGGCACGGAGGCACTCCTACACTTTGTGGCTGTTTTCTTTTCACCATGTGAACCCTTCTAGGGATAGGTTTACATGAATGAAAGAATTGATACCAGATTTTCCCATTGTAGTTGAATCATGTTTTTTATAGCAAAGTTGTAATTTAATAAGTCATATCACACCAAATAATGCAAAAAAAAATATATACATCCTCAGGTCTAAAATGGCAGTGATAGTTGAATAAAAATGAAACTCACTCGGGGAACTGAAAATCTAATTCATTACCAATATGTAATGCCAAACACAGTAATGAGCTGAATCTTGAATCACTTCAGCAGTGATAGCAGCACTGGATTTTAGCATGTTGTTTAGTCTCAATTTAATGGCTAAATTGTTCTGCTGTGCCAGGTTCAAAGGATATGAAATGTACAACTGCATATAACGACTAAAAATACCACTTACATTTAATTGATAGAAATGACTCTTAAAAGTAAAATAAGTTCCATCGTGATGTGTAGAAGTTCACACTGGCAAAAAAGGTGTTCTCTGTCATGTCTTTTCCCTTTCCCATCCATTTTACTCCCTGGTTCCTATTTCTTCTTTTTAAAATCATATTTCAAAATTAGATTTTGAAAACCTCAGAGAGTAGGCAGCATAATATATGATCTCTGAAATTTTAGGGGTTTAAAGTTTACATTAACAGAATTATATGAGATACTGTAACAAAACACCAAAAATAACCCAATTGTAAGAAAATGCATTGTCAGGGAATAAAATAAGGAGGGCTTAGTAGGTTTGTCTGCCTCACAATCCCATTGTTACTGTTTTTTAAGGAAGTGTGGCATGCGTTTGGGAGGCTCTCTGGGGTAAGTAGTTCTATCTGTGTAACTTAACTGGCTGTAAGATTGTGATAGATGTCATGCATATTAATTTTTTTCATGAGACTCTTTCAGGGCATGATCAGATTATTCACAGTTGATGTCAGGATTTTATAGTAACACATCTAGGGATAGAGAGGCCTTTGTGATGGTAAATTCTTTGTCTTCTTGTGAACATTATTTCCTTCTTCCAAAATCTGAAGCCAGTTTGACAAAGATGATGTTTAAGACTATGATGATTATGTGAACAAAATGCTTCTAATTAAGTTACTCTGTCTCCTCTCCAGCAGGAAAATGGTGGTTTCTTGACAATGGGCTACTAAACATTACCAGCGTGTCTTTTGAAGACAGAGGTAAATACACATGTGTTGCATCTAATACGTACGGCAGTGTTAACAATACTGTGACGCTGAGGGTTGTCTTCACCTCCGGAGATATGGGCATCTATTACATGATTGTCTGCCTTGTAGCTTTTACCATTGTTATGATACTGAACATTACTCGGTTATGTATGATGAGCAGTCATCTGAAGAAAACTGAGAAAGCAATCAATGAATTCTTCAGAACAGAAGGGGCAGAGAAACTCCAGAAAGCCTTTGAGATTGCAAAGCGTATCCCAATTATCACTTCAGCCAAAACACTTGAGCTTGCCAAAGTAACCCAGTTCAAGACCATGGAATTTGCTCGCTATATCGAAGAGCTTGCTCGGAGCGTACCTTTGCCACCTCTCATCATGAACTGCAGGACTATAATGGAAGAAATTATGGAGGTTGTCGGTCTGGAGGAGCAGGGACAGAATTTTGTACGACAGACAGCAGAAGGCCAGGAAACCACTGAAACAGATGAGCTATACATGATCCCAAATGCTTTGAAGCGCAGTGACTCTCCCACAGGTGACTCTGATGCGTCATCACTGCATGAGCCACCTCAACAGATTGCAATAAAAGTATCAGTTCACCCATTGTCTAAAAAGGACTGCATGGACGGTCAGTTGCAAGAAAGCATGCAGCTGGACAACAAGGAAGAGGACACTTCTCAAACACCAGCACTTCCTGCAGAACCCCTTCCTGAGCCTTCTGCTGAACTCAGTTCTGATGACACAGCATTGGCAAATGACAAAAATACATGCATTATATATGAAAGCCATGTATGATAGTTACTCCTGAATCTATGCATAGCAGGAAAATCAGGTGGAGCTCTTTTAAAAATACATATTGTAATTGCCGCTAAGCCTTACCTGGAGACTATCATAGCAAAAGCATGTATGTGGATTATTTGGCACTTTCTTCTCAGTTTGACTTTAGTTTACCATGATGTATGGCAGAGTAATTGCTATTACATTAATATTAATTGCTCTTTTTGATTAGGAGTATTTCCAAGAAACATTTACCTCAGCATTTTCTAGGTTGGAGTTCCCTATAGTGGCCTCCTGAAAGTCACTGGTAGTCTTCGATGTAGGACACTTGAACTTACTAAACATAAAACTGGTTTTCATTTTCCTCCTTGACTCTCTTATTTCCATCTATAGCATTTTTGCAGATATTATCTTGTGAATTTGAAATATTGCCCAAGAGGCAGCACTCCAGTAGCCAAATAAAATCCTAATAGATCCCATTTAAAAAACCTGTTTGTTCAGCTGCATTGTCATTTAGAGGGCTATTAAAGAAAGTTAAAATGTTTCCATTTCATTTGAGACTACACTGCTCAGGCACAGGGGAAATAGTTTCCCTTTTTCCATGGAATGAAGATGCCAACAATTGTGTTTTTTTCACATCAAGAAACAACTTTGAGGTCTATTTTACAGATGGGAAAGCGTGTAAACATCTTACAGAAAGTTGCAGTCCAACAACTCTGCATGGATTTTTTTATAATTGACCGTTTCTAACTTTGCCAGAAGTTTATATGGAAAATAGCTGCAAATATGCAAGATGTCTTTGGGTTTTGTTTGTTTGGAGTTTTTTTGGTAGTAATTTGGTAGGAGTAAGTATGCACTACCTTACCAAAAGATACGCAGGTTCCTTAACAGTCCTGCGAATGCCAGTAATCAGCTGGTAACAAGGCTGAAATGGCAGAAGACCCTTTTATTGGGATTCTCAATTTGGCGCAGATTCGTATTTTGAAGATCAAACCTAAATTCATCTATAAGTCTGACAGTGTTTTATCCAAACTAAAAAAACAAAATAATATAATTGTCCTGTGAAATTCCATTGACGATCACACACAAACTGTTTACTGCATTGTAATTGCTTTGTTATTTTACCTCCTACCTGTGCAGGATGTTCACTGCTTGAGTACATGTGTCCCTACCCCAATAAAGCTTTAATCATCACAGTGACTGGGGCATTAAAAAGGGTCAATGTTTATGCCAGGAAATGCCAGGAGTGGAAAGGAAGTGATAATTCCTATTGCAAGTAGACAATAAAGAGGACCTTCTCTGGAGTGAGTCTGGAATGAAAGCTCTTCCAAGGAGGAGTTGCATAGGATTCATAGCATATTACTTAATCACCTGGCACACTTTAATTTGGAAGTAATGAACAAACTGTCACCTTACAGTTTTTAAGAAGGACTGTAGTGTAAGTACAGCTACTCAAAACTAATCTGGAATTAAGCATATTGCAGAAGTCACTTAGGTCTCTGGGGAGATGAGGTGTGGATGGCTCTCTGGACATTTTACTGAAGTAGCCACATCTACATAAGGTGTCCATTCAAGGCAGTCAGGTATATTAACTGCACAGGTAATTGAGAGCAAACAAAGTCAATGTTGTAGCTCTCTAAAAAATTCATTGATAATGAACAGACATTTTATCTCAACTTCCTCACGTTAAACTGCAGAGCTTCACTAGCAGCATAATACAGGAACACCCCATGACTTAAGTAGGTGATGTAGAGAAGGTTCCATATGTACCTTTCTAAAGTTATTCAAAAAAACCCAACCATGGTTAATAAGGGACTTAAGATTTTGTGACCAACTTGTGAAAATTGCGGTATTGCCTAATGTTTGCTTGTGCTCACCACAATGGCAGGCATCTATACAAAATGCATTTGCACATTCCCAAAAGGAAAAAAGGGCAAAGTCCATTCCAGTGGCTGGAAATATTTTAGGTCCAGTAAAGTAATGTAAATCTCGAACACAGGGTAAATTAAGGAAATACCATAAAGAACCTCACTTCTGACCAGTGTGATTGAAAATACTACTGAAGCAAACTGTTAACTTCTTGTCTGCATCCAAACTATGTTTCTATTTAGTGTTTGCATCAGTTTTTCAAGTTACTTAATTTGCTTCTGCTACGAAAAAGGCTGAGGGCAGAAACAAAAGCAGGAACTTGCACTAAATTCCTTTAATTCACCTTAAACTCCTGAATATAGGCATCTTGATTTTTCTGCCTGACCAGCATTTACAAACAATGCTCACGCATTCTGAAGTTACCTGCCTGGTGCCCAGCTAAGGTTGCACAGATGAGCAAGAATATTTTCCTTGAAAACATAAAAATAGGTTCTAAATTACACTTAAAAAAAGAAAAAGTTTCAAAGTTATTTATTAAAATATTTTAATTTTTTTCTAATTATAAACTTTTTACAGTAGAGACCAGCCCCCTTCATGTATTTATATGGTGATTGGTACCAGGCAGTTCTGATCCAGCTGTTGCCCTCAGACTGTCCTCTATCCTGTTTATTTTTACTGAGATACATTAGAAAGCAATCAATCCCTATGGTTTTCTTCAAGATCTCTGTGTAAACTTCCTTGAAGATAAAGACTTCTTTTTTCCCCCAGAGATTGCCCATAAAATGCATGTGTTTGAAGCACACACAAATGTACATTGCAAATCACGTATGAGCAACAGTGATTTGGCTTAGATGCATGTAACAGGTCCAGTGCACCAGCCAGTCTGCTATAAATTCTTCAGACATTTAGCTTTGTGATGTTATGGGAATAAAAGCAGAACAGCACTGTATCTGAAGAAAATCCAGACTGTAATGGGTCTGATTTAAGTGTGTTTTCTGCTTTCACGTATGCTGCTCAGGATCTTTATGCATCCATTTAATGATCTTAAAGATCTCTTCTGACCGAAACGATTCTATGACTCTGTGATATAATATGTGTAAAGCCTAAAGCTTTCTACATACTTTCAGGCACTTCCTTTGTGAGAGAGAGATAGATGGGAAGCAAGACACAAACCCATCTTCCCCATTCCAAACTTTCTGTCTGCGCTATTATAAAGTAGACAATTCTGTCCTGCAGTATTTCTTAGGGAATGGCCATTTTATGGTATGAGAACACAATTAACAAATATAAAAATAATGATGGCTCTAAGAAAATACTAATATTTGCTTGTAATGTATTTCCATGCGACTTAGGTGCTTCAGGGACATTACAGCTATCTGTTCCCGTCACAGACTGTGCTCTATATATTATAGCACTAAACATTAATGGTTCTTACCGTACTCAATCTGGAAAATCCATTCCAACTGAATTTGCATTCTAAATGTATAAGGAACACTGGGGCAGCTTTGGAAAGGAAAAGAGATCTGCAGATTACACCATTGTAAAATATTTTTGCCAAAGCTTCATGAAACATGACTAGATTTCTGCAGCACAAGAAAGCAGTGTTAGATTTGAATTTTACACTTACTATTCTTTTTTTTTTTGCTAAATCTAAGACCACATTAATCAGACCACTTGAAGAGAGTACTATCTACTTACTCAACATTTTCTTTATGAGCAGCATTTGTTTACTGCTGATCCTTTTTTGTTCTCTGGTTTGAGTATGCTTGTGATGAAACCTGCCCTTCAGTCATTTTTTGAGATTGTCATTGAACAATTTTAAAAGAACCCATAGATCAGAATTTTAATGCAGGTTTATTGGTATTAGGGAAGGCACAGCCCTTTGTTCCTGTGCTAAAGAATTACTGTATAGCCATAAGATTTGCAGAATGGCATATATGGCAGATGTTGATTTATTTTTCTTTTTAATCAGTGCCTGGTTTATTCTAATGTACATACTATGTCAGTTCCTCGATTTGCAGTTACTTTTTGACACAAGTACTGTAACTTATAACTAGGGCTTTCTGACATTCAGTTTGGTTCAGATCAGTTAATTCTGGAAAGTGTTAACAGTGTCGAATTTTGAAATTTCTCATGGAGTTTCTTGGCAGTGTGCTGTTTTAAGAGTAGGCCTCTTAAGTATGCCATACTTAGTGGGACAGCTGAAAGCTTCTTAGATGCAAAGGAAATGCTTGCACTAAAGTATCTTAAGTTATGTTTCATTTATTATGAAATCCTTTTTGATTTTACGAGAAATGTAAGACAGATATGAATGTGTTCTTTTGAGAAGTGGTTACTGTATTTTGATTTAAATAACTTATGATTTTATAGTTCGCAGCCATAAACCACAAAGAGACCAGTTCATGCTGAAGTGGCAAAATGAAATGTGATCCAGCTTGTAAATTGATTGTTGTTTCAATAAAGAATTTGCACAGAGTATGCTGAGTTTGTACATACTCAAAAAGATGATAGTTTCTTAGTAAGAGTATGCTGTTGCTCCAACTCAAATGGAAGTGAATTATGTATTCCATTGTACATCTGCTAATATTCCAGAAACTTTGATCAGGAAAAAAGAATTAATTACCTAAAAAGGAAGTTTTAATAAAGGTCTGAAGGGGAGCTGTTGTTGTTATCAGAATGCAGACAATTATTAATCAGTATTGTTATCAATAGCCTAAATTGTTCATGTATGTAAGCAGTCTGTCTTTGGAAACATATCAGCAGTTCTGCATGTAATCCAGAGGACTTCCTTTGTCTGCTGTTTCTTCTCTGAGCCTTGTCTTGGGGCCTTGCAAAAAGTATTGCTGCTGTTTCAGAATTGGGGCCGACAAATAAGTGCCTCTTCTCCCAGAGGCACCCTAGCACCAAGACTAAATAAAATCTTGAGTGGCTATACCCACGCCCCCATTCCTTCACCCACCCTAAAAGGATGAGGTGAAATGGCTTTCCTGTACCACAGCAGTTGGACTGTATCACTGCCTAATAGTCTTCAGCAGGACTTGGTTGAAGCAGACACTGTAATACCTTGTCCTGCCTCTGCTACACAGTCTAGCAGTCAGTGGCAGTCATTGACAGAGATGGAATGGGGGACTTGCCCTTTCACACATGAAAGATTTGCTCTTGCCAGCTGCCTGTTCTAGGCTGAAGAACATAGCCAACAGCAGGAAAGCAATTGCTATTTTGTGTTTTAACTCTGCTGTTGAAAGAGTGCTTCAATTTTGAAAAATATTTTCAGAAGCATTTTTATTCAGCAGTCTTGTCTGAGTTCCTGGTGGTGAGACAGCCACAATTTGTAGACAGATATCTACAAAAAATCGTGAAGAAGTCACAAACTCATCATAAAAATGGAATACATATGGCTACAGACATATGCTATTTTACTGTCTCAGCATGGGACCTTGTCTTGCAGTTCGATACACTGTGATGTTTTTTTTTCATCTAGAACAGCACCACCTCAGGCTGCTCCCCTCCAGCATGCTGAACTCCTGCAACAGCTTTGCTGGAGCATTTTTCAGGAAGGTGGGGTACCACCAAGCAGTTGGTCCCAATGAGCTACACTCCTGAACACTGAAACAGGCTGGTCCCAGTCCCAGTGTTTCTTGTGAAGATCTTTATATCATGTGGAGGAGGCTGCCTTACATTAGTACTACAGAGGCACCCCCAAACTAAAAGCTGCTGGTGGGTAGTATCTGCACAGAGACAAACCTGTGGACAGTGGGGTCTCTGCTCTCCGACTAAGACTTGAGCCAAGGAAAGCTGGTGCGTAGCTCAGGGCTGGTAGCCCAGTTCCTTGCAGAGCTACAAACCACTTTCCCACAGGACTGCTGATTTTCTAACTTGCATTGTGCACTAGTTCCTGGAATAACCAGCTGAGACTTGAGAATCAGTTCCTTCTCAGCATCCATTTCTTCCATCTCTTCCTCTCCCTATCTTACCTTCCTGTGCTTTTTTCTGTCCCTGCCACTTCTGCAGTGTTACTTCTCAAGTGAGAACAGAGTGAAATTAGTGGTCAGGGCAAGTGTTTCTGCACTCCAGGTACCTCTGTTCCAAACTGACCTTTCATTACGTTCCAAAATGGATTTTATTTTTCCACCAACTGTACCAGGCTCTAATGCTATGTACTATGTTTAGCTGTCTGGCTCCCAGGCCCAAACTGAGTCATACTCTTAGAGTAAAGGCTGACTTGTGAATCCGTAGCATCATATATAAGTCTATAAATTCGGCAAAGACAGTAATATAAACTGAAGCTAAGTTCCCTATTCCTTATACAAAATCAGACTGCATAGCAGCAAACAGTAATTGTGGTAGACTTAGGCCGCTCAAGTTATGCAATGAAAAGCTATTCCATACCACAACGAGATGAGGCAAGAATGAGAAAAATTAACAGTCAACCTTGTATAGGATGGAGAATACATGTAAACCCCTATTTATGGTTAAACAGAAATTTAGCATCAGTATCAAATCAATCTGCTCTTCTGTAGCCACATTCTATTTTGAGAACAGATTCCTTTAGTATCTACTCTAAGCAGAACTTCCCTATGTAAGCAAGCACCTTAGCTATGGAAATAGTACAAGAGTTATCAGAAGGAGCCTTGCCTCCCTCATCTACTATTTTTGACTATTTAGCTATGCATCAAAGGCCTGCCAAAGATCTGGCCAACCACTCCTGTCTTAGTGTCTAGCCACAGAGTTTGGGAGCTTCCAGTTGAGATGCATGAGCGAGTTTTTCTGAGATGTCTGCCTTCTCTTGCATAGGTTTTGATTATACCACCCAATAAACCACTCATTTATTAATGGCACCAGTCATTCTCAATTAATAATTACGGAGAAGAAAACTAAATGCTGCCACCACTTCCCTCTTTCTGAAGCCTCTTGTTGCTTCTACCTCAAGATTAGCCCTGATGGACAGATAGCTCCTGAGTTGTTTGGGTATCCGTTATCTCATTCCTGCTGGGGAACAACACTACCTTAGCCAGAGAGAAAGATTAAAAAAAAAAAAAAAAGTAATAACTAAATAACAAAATAAATAACAAAATAACAAAATAACAAAAAAGTAATAACAAAAATCAGCCAGAAAAGAACCTCCCTTCTAAGGAGGTAAGCATGGATACTGCCTGATAAAAATGCTTCATTATCCTTCTCTCTAATATGCCAGAGTAAACTGCCTCAGGAAAAGGTGGTAAAAAATAGAAAGAAATTTAAGAAGATTAAAATGGAAAATCTTTCTCCTCATTCAAAACATCCAGAGGTGATTTATCTTCAAAGTATATTAAATTCTAACTCATTTAATCATGCTTTGATGTGCTTTTAAACATACTCAAGTGGAGAAAAAGGAGATTCCTAAAACCAATGACATTTTCACCACCAACCCCGAAGTAAATTATCATGAAAGTACAAAACATATTGCTGAGCCCATCTCTCAGGATACCATTTATCAGGGAAGATATTTCTAGTCCTTTCTATGGTTCTGCTTAGGTGACTGCAGCTTCCTTAAGGGATTGGTGAAGGTGCATTTCTTTTCTGCTGTCTTCTTCTTGGTTAAATAGTCTATGCCCTGTATGATATCCTCTTTATGTATAAAAATCAATGTTCCGTCAAAGATTTATCTTCATTCTTCCCCTCCCCATCCCATTTGGATACCTTTTGGTTTTTTGTGTGTTTTGTTTTACTGCTTGGATTTTGGGTTGTTTGCACTGAAGTTCCTCATGTTTTAAAACATCAGAGGATCCTAATGTTTTTTCAGTTGCCTGTTTTGGGGCAAGATCACTCACACCCATCTGTATAATTCATTTTTAATTACACTGATGTACATATTACTGTTCCCAGGTTGGTGCAGGATGAGCTAATCAATAGGCTGCAGCAGATTTCTTTTGCAGAGCAGCACCAACAGAACAGGTAAAGCTGTAATTCCCAAGATACAAGTGAAATAAGCGTCCTCAGTCATATATGGGTCTATGAATATATGTTCTTTTGTTTGTTCATTTCAAAAAAGCCTTAAATAACATGTTTCTTTTGGCTTAGCCTCTGATCACTGATGGAATAGCACATTTGCACCATCCCTACACTTTTACATCAGCTATCCATTATGTGGATTGGTTTATCTTATTCATTGGATAGCATGCCAAGTGCAGGGGTGTCAGTACATTAGATATTTGTGAAAGGACTGCAGACAGCTTGGTGACACTATGTAAATGATATTTATTTCAAATGCATTGATAAATGCTTTTTTGCATTCTTTTAACGGAAATGCTGTATTTCTATATAGGCTGATATTTACATGTTGATGGAGTCTCTTTTTCTGTTTTAACTAGAAACTCCAGTTTTTCATAAGTGTGCAGTAAAATGACAGTAATCTGCTGCCAAATAAAGCTGCTTTTTGCAACTACAGTTTCTATATTTCATAATCCCCCTGTAATCTCCACTAAGCACAGAGCTCATTCTTTAATATATACATCATGAATGAGGTGAAAGGCTTCAAATCTGTTATACATGTAGTCTGCATCAGACTGCTAGTTATTTTATTAGAACATATACCTACCCTGGCCCTGTAACTCCCTTTGCAGTTACCAGAAATAGCCCCAGAACATTAGCCAAATGTTATATGATACAGTGCCACAATGCAGTGCCACTGAGAACTATGCACTTACTCTACACCAATTTCAGGAAAAAAAAGACTCCAGAGAAAACCCATCCCTTCTCATCAGGGAAGCAGGGACTGAAAGCCTCTCAAGTACTTCATGTTTCAATTGGTTTTCAGAAAAAAGAAAACAGCCCCAAAACCCCCAACTGCCAGCTAGGTGATTACTGAGGTCCTTACTTGTGAAACTGATGCAGGAGCTCCATCACCAATGACGGAGGTCGCTGCAGTATGGAAACTCATCACTCCCAGTAGGTAGCTGTCAGTTATTGGACAGCAGCTAAAGACACTTCTCACAGTAATCCATGATACTATAAGGAGGGCAGTGTTACTCCATAGCATGTAAATTGGTAATTTCCTGGAGTCTATGGATGACGCTGCAAGATGCAGGCCCCAAACTGTTCAGGTGATGGCACTGCACCTGGAACTCAAGCCTGTTTCCTGACTAGAGAAGGGCACTGGGAGCATCACTAAAGGCTTTGCGCCGGGATGGTGGAGTCAGACAACCTTCCATGAGAACCCAAGTCCCTTCCTTTTGGCTTGATATCATGACCAGACTACACCTCTTCTTTATTTGCTCTAGCACTACCTCATAGTTCTTCAAGGAAGACTAAGTATGGATTCTTCAGTGAGGCAACTGCTGAAAACCATGCAAATGTGTCTCAGCTGTACTGACAGATGTGCACTTGCCTTTGTACCATACCAGATAAAGATGTTCCCAGGGGCCTGCCAGCGTTGAATGGAAAAGGGCAGTGATGCTGTGAGTCCGGAAAAAAAACAGAAGCAGATGAGAATGGGCA